ACATCGGGGAAGGGCTTGGAAAGGTGAGCCGAGCAAGCCTGTACCTTGCCAACAGGGCCCGGCAGCACGCGCAGCAGGAAAGCCCTTCCTGTTTCCAGGCAGGAACTGGTTCTGGAAACTTCTTGGAGGCGGTGAGCCTTCTGTCATTTTGGCTTCTATCACTTAATGCCTATGCAGATTTAATTAAAAATTGCCACCAAGGAGCAAAAGAAAAACAGTCCTACAGTCCAGTTGGATGGTGGCTTTGTGTTTTCATGTTTCTCTTTTATCTACAACTCTGCAAAACACGCAAGGCTGAATCTGCAGAGCCTAATATTGTGTCTGTCATAAAGTATTAACGCTGTCCAATAAATACTTAAATGAGAAGTACAGTTTATACTTTGTGCAAGAGATTATGTTTTGTGTGGGAGGAGCGTGGGGAAGTTGTGACAAAGAACATCCTCCACAGCATCCCTGCTTTTAGGGAGCTTGTAACTTAAGGCAGAATACTGTATGATAAGTTTGGACTGTGGTACAGATTAAAAGAAGAGGAATGAAGGCTTTACAACTGGTAAACTTTTTAGGAATCTGGGGTGTTCCTTCTCCTGGGTGTTCCTCCCGTATTTAGTTTGCAGTCAGTTTCCTGATGAAACTCTTTTTACCCAGAAATGAAAGACCTACCTAATTGGATTACTTCCTTAGAATATTAAATGACAGTGCTGGGCCTCATTTAAGGCTTGACTTCCTACTTGGGGAATATCTTAAAGCAAGGAAGAAAAAGATCTAATGTCATTGTTTTACAAAGGGAAGTACTAAATCTTTTTGTCCACAAGGTTAATTAGAGAGGTGGGAAAACCATTACATAATTTAAACAAATAAGTAGAAAATGTGAAAGGAGAAAAGCACTGGAGGCGATTAAGGAGACTGGCAAAGAGCAAATGGTTAGAGTCACTAAAATTGAAAACAATCCACATTTAGAAACTGAAATGTTAAAATCTGCATGTGAAAGATGTCACTGTATCTCCTTAGCATTCAAACTAAGTTAATATCCCCTTGTCATCAGACACTACCCCTGCTATTGAAATTGGAGACCTAGCTAAGCTGAACTCTAATAGCCTTATGACAATAGCAGAGGATTGGTTACTTTAAAAAACCTTATTTCCCACATTCAGAAGCATTTGCTGGAAAACTCAAAAGGCACCAACGAGGTTAGTGATTAATCAACACTGATTCCCTTAATAGAGGCTCATGCACACACAGTGAAGCCGACACGTTTCTGTTCTTATCATGAGCATCACTTTCACTTCAAAGTTAGTTCTGTGAAATAAAACACAGCTAGACAACTTACCTAGAGTAGGCCATTCTTGCAATAACTTGAAACAACCTAGAGGGGAGTTGAGAGCATAGATTTACACAGCCTCTCCCCAGATTACCCAACTTGTCCTATCTTGAGGAAAAAAAAAAAAAAAAAGTACATTTGTGTTATTGGGTGCAGGTGGAGGAGGACTTTCTAACCGCCAGACTCTAGAGTCCAGCATACTAGGTTCAAATCTTTATACCACTATTTTGTAGCTGTGTGATCTTTAGCTACTTGCTGTCTTCTTGAGCCTCTGTGTTCTGCGTCTGTATAATGGGTTATCGAAAATATTAAATAGATGAAATTAGTGAATATCAAGTGCTCTGTGTTGGACCTGGCAGAAAGTAATCCCTCACTAAATGTTACTGGTGGTCACTTGTAATCTTAAAATAGATGCCACACATTCTGTGCACTTTATGTACAGGAAAACTCCTAAAACTCTCATGCACAATTTGCGTGTACTTGAAACAAAAATCTAGCAGGTTATGTCATCCCAGTTCACATAAAAGGAGAGGAATACTTGCTCTAGGAGGACAGGCAGGAGTATGAATTTACAGCTGATGGCTGACAATGAACAGAGATGGGAAAATATAAGTGAGCAGACAGAGACCACTAAAAAGCTGGGTCGGTCCTTCCTTCCTTCCTTCCTTCCTTCCTTCCTTCCTTCCTTCCTTCCTTCCTTCCTTCCTTTTTTTAACAGAGTCTTGCTCTGTCATTCAGGCTGGAGTGCAGTGGTGCAGTCTCAGCTCGCTGCAACCTCTGTCTCCCACGTTCAAGCAATTCTCCCACTTCAGCCTCTTGAGTAGCTGGGGTTACAGGTGCCTGCCACCACGCCAGGCTAATTTTTGTATTTTTAGTAGAGACGGGGTTTCACCATGTCGGTCAGGCTGGTCTCAAACTCCAGACCTCAGGTGATCCGCCCGCCTTGGCCTCCGAAAGTGCTGGGATTACAGGCGTGAGCCACCACACTCGGCCTGGGTGGCCTTTTAAGTGTTTTAGGCCATCGATGGCTTTTATTACTTGTAGCACTTAGTGCAGTAATTGATGTAAAAGCAGATTGAATCAATGTGATGGTGGAGCTGGCAAAACACAATGCATATGAAGGCAGAAAAATGTGTCAAGCATTTTAACAGTGTCTCCGTAAAGTGGCAAAAAATTAAAATTTTAATGCTAAAAGGGAAGATTTGGGTTATATGAAGACATTCTGCATACTTTGGCAAGGCATTATTTTTCTAATAGCTCACAAGTTGTAAGCTAAGGTCTTCTAGCAGCAAACCCCACCCTCAAATACAGGCTGTAAGCTATTTCAAATACTATGAGCCTTATGAAAATATTTGGAAGGATATATTAGGTGTAATTGTGGGCTTGAATAACACTCTGAAATTTGATTAGTTTTTTAAAATGAATGGTTATTGAGCACTGTCTGTCCCAAGCAAAATTCCAAGCACTTAACTCATTTCATCCTAATATCGGTGCAAGAAAGGGATATCATTATCCTTCATTTTACAGATAAGAAAACTGGGGCACAAGGAGGTTAAGTAACTTATCCAAGGTCACACAGCTTGTAAATGGATTTTAAACGGGGTAGCCTTGCTCCTAACTCTTAACCGCTGCCACAGTAGTAAAGTCCACCTTCAAAGGAGTAATTTCAATTGCACTAGGAGAGTGTTAAAATTAATAAAGATGTGTTGATATAAAACACAATTTTTAAAAATGTTTGTAGAGCCCTAAAAGTTCCTACTAATTTTTATAAATTAGCTGATACAGTCCATATGTACATTATGTTGACAGTTGCCAGTAACAAAATCAGTGAGCCTCAATGTAACTGCAATGAAGTACAGAAAGGTGAACATACAAGGCCATTTGGATGCAAATCAGTAAAATAAACCATAAAGATATGAATATTAAAAAAATATTAAGGTCTTCAGTGTTTTCTACTTAATCATGAGCTAGTCCTTTCTTCACATGTCAAAATGTTTTATGTACTACCCTGCATATCATGAATATTTTCTTAAACGAAAATCACTGGAGTTTGTCAGCTTAAGCAAGAGCTTTTGTGTTTATGTTGAAATAGATCTCTAAAACTTTCTTTCACCCTGAGAGAAAGAATGTTCCCCTAGGATACAGCAGATCATGCTTTATGGCAGGCCGTTTTATAGTTTATCACATCTCCCCAGCAGGGACCAAACCAGTAAGATAAAGCTTAACTGTGATAAGTGGACTTACGTGTTTATCTTTATGGCAGGGTTACATGTTTTCTCTCATGCCTTTCTCCCATCTGTGTTTTCGATGATGCACCCAAATGATGTAATGGTGCCAAATGGCCCTTTAATGGTTTTTCCCTAAGAATTAGTGAATTATAATCCTCTTCTTTCCAAAGGTAACTGCCATCCAAATCCTGGGTCTACTGGGATTTATTGCATGCACAGTGTTCTTAGCCACTGATTTGGGGGCCTGCCAAATGCTTACTCAGTACTCTAATGTGTTGAGAAGGAAGCGTTATAGGTCTCTCAAAAGTAGTAGAAGCTCCAGCAGACCAGATACCTACCATTCAACATATTTATCAACTGTCAGCATAACAGAAATAAACCTGGAAACTTCTTTTACACACAGACTTCTAAACCAAGCATTGTGAATCATGCAGGTATATGCTTTAGGTTGGGCTTTCCCCACCTCCCTAATTGAGGAGCATTTATTGAAGAGACTGCCTGCAAAGGTATGTGCATGATTAAGGGGATCCGACAAACTATGGTGAAATACTGGGTGCTGGCAACAGCTTGGGGCCATTCCTGCATCCTGAAGGAGCAAGAGGAGGGTAGAGTTACCAACCTAGAGAGAGAACTTCAAGGCCACCTATGAAGGAACTATGGACTCTGGCAGAGGAACACAGCCACCAGCAGAAAAGGAGACAGAGGAATAAATACCTGGACCTCACTGTCTGCTGGTACAATCTGTTGCATGGCATTTTGGTGAACTGTAGGATTATTTACAGAAAGTTACTTGTTGAACAGCATAGTATGTTCACTTGGGCAATTCGATGGGTTAATTTCTTCCACCACCTAAGCCTATATCTTAGAGCAGCCAAGTAAGCTATATGAATGCCGACTGCGGTCAAGTGGGGTAATGCTTCAGCAACACAGCTGCAAAAGGCTTGTATTCCAACCTACACGGACTGGCATGTTTGTAGCACTGCAAGAACGTGATCGCTCTGAAGGAGTCTGAAGGAAAGGGAACCCTCATTTCACCACGTAATCAAGAAGAGATTTCTGTTAAACATAGATTTCACTCCTGGCTGTACATTTACTAGCTTTCATTCATTCATTTGGTGAATATTTATTAAGTGTTTACTCTATGCTGACACCATTGTTCCAGGCATTAAGGATAGAGGAGTGAAAAAAAAAGATGCCTACCTTTAATGTGGGGAGATGGCTGATACTTGCATACGAGCAAGATAAGTTCAGATGGTGACAAGTAAAACGAGGTAACTGGAGAATGGTGGGGGATGGTCAGGGGAGTGTCTGGGGTGGTGACATTTGAGCTGAGACTTTAACCTTATTGTTCCATGCTTAGGGAGGGTTGGGGATGGGGTGGCAGGCGGTGGGCAGAGCGGTGAGTTAGGAAGGGAGAAGAGTGGTAGCAGCTGAAGTCTATATCCTTAGAGTAATGTGAAGACATTGGACGGTTTTAAGAAGGGAGAAATGATTTGATTTACATGTTTGGGATCCCTCTGATGACTCTGTTGAGCTTCGATTGAGGTGAAACTGGAAGCAGGACACTAAATTTGGATGGCTTAGCCTAGGATGGAGGTGGTGGAAATACAGAAAAGTATGGGGAGACTGTGTGTGTGTGTGTGTATATATATATATATATAATCCCCTAATTTTCCTAATGAGATTTTTAGGTGTTTTATTAATTTATTATTTTGGAGAGACAGTGTCTTGCTCTGTCCCCCAGGCTGGAGTTCAGTGGTGTGATCATAACTCACTGTAGCCTTGAACTCCATGGCCCATGTCATTTCCAGTTACAGCCAGGACATCATAGTCAAATGAGTACTTACTATGGAAAAGGAGAATAGAGAGGGACATTAGTGTGCAGCTAGCAAGCAGGTTGTCACTAGATAGCATGGGACAGCTGGTTTTTCTGTACATTCATATATGTCTTGTATACATATATGAATATCCTTCCTTATCCAAAGCTATTCAGTCCCTGAATTCAGAGAGCAAAAAAAGGAATATAGGTTTTTGTGATTGCTACAACTTAACCACTGACTGTATTTCTATTTAAAGTGATCATTAAAAGGCTGGAAGAGTCATACCATACAAATAATTACAAAATCTGTTTTTAAATTTCTTTGTCTCTTCCATTTTAAACAATTCTGTCAGTTGGATCTCCAAAGGGAACCAAAACTAGCACTGATTGCAGCCAATTCAGAAGGATATGTCTTTTGCAAATAGCACTTTTTGTTCAAAGAAGGTAATTATGAGAGAGCCCTGTAATAAGAGGCTTTGGAAGGACTCTAATGTAAGGGGATTTCTTAGTTTCTGAGAGGTAATTGCGGGAGGATGGGTTCTTCACCTTATATTTAGACATTAAGGTAGGGTGGACCAGGTCACCTACAGAGCAGCGTGGGTTGGGGGGAGTTTATTTGGTAACATAAGGAAATATTCTCTCTTTTTCTTTAACTGTAATATGAGGGGATAATTAATATGTAGCTTCTTTGCATGATTGTGAAAATCATGAAAGGTGTTAGATATGTAGCAGAATCTATGCATCACCTAATATGCACTACACAATATTGAGAGGTAAACATGCACATCCTCTATCTTTGCAAAAATCGGTGTTGGCATTTGACAGTTAGCTGTGTTTGTAGTGACAATATTTGCCTGGCATATAGTACGTGCTCAATAAATGATCATTTTTATTGTTATAAAATGGGAAATAAAGAAAGTCTATGAATAGCACAACTTTAAGGCATTTGAATGTCCACTCATCATCTCATCTGCATTAGTCCTATTCTGTCACAGATGCCTTCTTAGTAAGAATTATTCTGAAATAATAGAGAGCTTTGGTGGAAGCTTATTAAACATTTTTTCTGAGCAAACTTCTATTTAGAGGGAATCTGCCTTGAATTGTTCCAGAGAGCTCTGTATTCCATTTTCTCTCAGAATAATAAGGCTCCCCTGTTCCTCTCTTCTGGGCAGTGCTGTGAACTGTCGTGCATATTTAAATAGCTGGAATTCATTGGAGTACACCAAGCATTTTTCTCAAAATGTTGTGTTTGCCATAAAATTTAGGGCTCTGTGGGGTTTGATATAATGTCTTGCTTGCCCATTGGGATATTATAATCAATGTGGAAAGATTCTATATGTTTTGCTCCAATATTGTCCAAGGATTCATCTTGACTGTTGTGTAGGCATTTACTTCTATTTGACAATTTGGTATTTCTTCAAATGCTTTGTGTCCATTCATGAGGGCGATGGTTTCATTGGAACACTGCAGTCACCAGGGAGAAGGCCCTGTGCTCTTCCCTGATAGGCTGGCTTTCCCTCTGCCTCCTGTTGCTATGGTGCCAGCAGAGTAACTTCCTTGCCCTGCACATGCAGAAGGCTCAGTCTCCATGGATACCCCACTCTGAGACTGTACTCTACTGAGATATGAGCTGCACACACTGTATTTCTGCAAAAGACATACCCCAGTCTGTGCTGGGAGGTTGTTTGCAGAGGCAATGTTTGCCATGAAAGTCTACGGAGCTTACCTTCTAAGTAAGTAGTATTAGTCACAGTAAGTAAATAATTATATTGGATCACAGAGGCTAGACTGTGTGTGTGTGTGTGTGTGTGTGTGTGTGTGTGTAAGTTAGTTATGGTAGGCCAAAATGGAGCCTAAAACAAGTTTTCATCTTCACCTCTCAGATATTCTGAATGCATGGTCTTATAAAATATACACTTTTAAACTTTTAAAAATATACACGTGTTATTTTAAATACTCTTTGTCATTTATGAGTCTATTTGTGCAATTGTAAGTCAATTTGCTGCCACAATGAAAAAGACTGACCATTGGCAATTACATTTAGAATGCTCTTCTAACCATGAGCATTGCATGTTGCATTTGTAAATGAAAAGCCTGGCCTTACCAGTGGTGTGCTAAGGGAACAGATGAACACAGCCACAATTAACGCTAATTGGCACTGCACATAGTTTGAAATGGGCCTCTGTGTAGGCTGAAACACGACGTATTTATCGTCAAGAGAGAGCCTGCGCATGTGATTAGGAAAGGGAATGCCCGTGTCTGCCTGATTACCATGAAAATTACTGAGAGCGTGTCTCTCTGGCCAGTTTTAATTTACTTTTCTCACATGGCATCCAGTAGAAATTCTGAAACAGTTAATGTTCATGGAATTGGGATGTGGAACATTTTTATTTTTATTAACTGATCTGACCTAACACTTCTTCTTTACTGTACATTCCAAGAGCATAAAGGTTGGGTTTGTAGTGTTGTAAAACACATGAGTCATCTTAAAGTATTTTCATCTGCTGGGCAAATGATTAATGCCTGTGGTGGTCAAATTAATTAGTAGAAACAAAAGAAAGACTATGTTTATGGCAACTCCAACTTTAGTTAGATAACTTTAAAATTGTGTAAAATTAAGATATTTAGATTGTTCACATATATAGCTGACATCTGGCAGCTCTAAACAAAAAGCAAAACATATGCTATATTAGTATAGATAAATTCATCTTTAATCATATAAAAAAGTGAACACAGCATTATGCTAGATTGTTAACTTTGTTTACTTTTTTGTGCTCATGACTACTTAGGCAAAGGACATACTGTGTTCATGTCATCTTTTCCAATGGTTAGTCATGGTTCAAGTTTAATTGCTGAGAACGGTGAAAAGATACCACCCTTTGAGAATGTGAATGTACCAAGGACTACTCTGTCCCTGGCTTTGTCACTGGGGTCAAGCTTTAGGTGATTAACTTAATATTTCATAAATATAATTTCTAACAGTAGATGGAATAGCAGACAAACATGGGTGTGTGAGAAATTCTATAGAGATCATGATTTTGGAACCCTGGAAACCATGTGGATGACAATTTCTCCAAACTTTTACTGCACTAATAGTATAAAGCCCCATATCCCTTTCTCAGTATATCTGCAATGAAGTCCCCCACCCACCTCTAAAACCCAGCATAGTATGGGATTTCTTTTTAACCTCAAAATATCTGACTCTTCCCTCTAAAACTTTTCTTTCATCTATGTAGTGGAGATAGTAAGAGTACCACTCACATAAGGCTGCTTTGAAAATTCAATGAAATAATCAATGGCATGTGATTATAGGAATAGAGTATATATGAATAGAAGCATACAAAAAATAGCTTCTATTGTATTATGAATACTATAAACATTATCACCATTTTTACAACGCCTGGTAGTCAAGGGAGGCATTAGCTAATAGCTTGAACAATTATTTGTTTCAATTTGATTCAGCCTATCAAATTTCTTATCAAATACTAACTAAGAATCTACTATGTGCTTAACACTTTGATGGGAATTGTGGGATTTTATGTACATGAGAATGTACCTAACAAAAAGTGAAATATACAGTAGTAGTTTTTTTATCTTTTCAAATGTGTGGCTTTGTTGTTTTGCTAAATATATATATATATATGTGTATGTATGTATATATATGAAATTGTGTTGCTATTAACAAAATGGATACATAAGATATCACAGTAAATGTTTAATATAAAAGAGGCTGAGCCATAGCATAAGTCTAGTTAATATTTATAACTTGAATTTAAAATGTGATGATTAAAATCTAGGTTCAAATATTAAGTTAGCTTTTTTTCCTGAAAGGATTTCCATGACATAGTTTGAAAAAAAGCAATTTCATTTTTCATTAAGTTCAAAGTTTGGGGAATGATGGGAGAGAAGGAGATGGGAAATGATTGATTAATCTGTATAAAAATAGGCCCCATGCTGGGATTTTTCCTTTTGCACTAATTCTGTGTGACATCTGAGCCAAAAAAATACATAAAACCAATGCCATATGTGCTGAGCCTGCTGGTGCTTATTTTAAAACTCATGAAGAGTTGACCCAGATTATATTTTGCAGCTTTATTTTTATTTTAATGCCACTTTAATTTCCACTTCTTCCTGGCATATTCTCTTCTTTCTTTCTGTTTTCCCTGGAAAAAACATGGCATGTGCATCAAGGACTATACCAAGTCATTTGAATGAAGAAAAGGAGCGGGCGGGGTGGGGGGGGCGGGTAGCATTTGTAGGATGTGGTTTAAAATGAGGTCTTGAGAGGCTGGGAACTTGGAATCAACGTATGTTCATACATGCTGAATATGTTTAGCTAAACATAATTTCAGATGCAATATCACTCAGATGGCCTAGCTAGAATAAGCCTTCTATTTTAAAGTTGCAATGGAACAATTAAATCCTTAATGATATCCTCACTAGCATGGTGACCTTTTACTTACATTCTGCTAGTCTGTGAACAAAATAATGCCCCACTTTCTATTCCATTGTTATTAGTCACGCATGCACATGCTTTGATGGTGCACAGTTCGTCAGTTGTTTGTTAGGTACTTGGTGCTTCTGTCATGATATTCGGGTCATATCTGGGGAGCTTTCCGAGGTCTCAGTTGACATTTCTATTTGTTGCATCCTTTTCTGTCAGGAGAGTTTGTGGCACTTTCAGAGGAAGGGATGCTTCCTTGTCTTACATGGTAGCAACATTATTCAGGGAAACTGGATCTTCCTGAGTGTTTGGCTTCTTGTACTCACCTCTGAGGTTGAGATAGGCAGGCGCTGCAAGCCTCTGCCAAAAAGATCTGATTTCTGCAGAGACTACTGGCGGGCCTGACTGTTCTTGAAAGATGAAGGCTATGCCTGTATCTGATACTGGGTTACTGCCTGACATCCAATGCCTTTTCCCTCATCGTTAGAGGAAGAAGTGAAAGATCCAAGCCACGAGCTTAGAAGCACTAGTGCATACAGGGCAATGGTTTAGAATCTGCAGATTGCGCCATAGCCTCCTATACTGCCCAGCTCAGAGAACCAGGGACAGTAAAGTGATTTTTCCCATGCAACACTGGGTCATTCTCAAGTTTTGGATAAGATTCTCCAACTCAGCATTTCCACCCCTCCTTTTCTTCTCAGTCTCAGCTACCATTTAAAACAACTGAACCTGGTAATGCTACTCATTTGTTTTTTTAAACGAATGTTTATCAATGTGCTAGGCAGTGACCCAGGCACTGGGTACAACAGTAAACCAGGGATCCCTGTACCTTGTGATATGTTCAGGAGGAAACACAGTGTCCAGTGGGAGCCCAGAGGACGACCATGTTGCCTAGACTCTGGGGTGTGGGAAGGGTCCCAGGAAATGTAATGCAATATTGACACTTATAAAGGGTAAAATTATATTTTTAAGGCAAAGACACTTAGGGATTTGAAATTTACATGCAATCGTTGTTAATTTAAATACTATGTATGCCCTTAGAGGCAGTGTTTTTTAAAAAATTCTATTGTTATGGTCACCATGTTATATTTAATAACAATTTTTTTAGATGGCTCTTTTCTCTACTAGAATGTGAACCTCTCTAGGAACAAGAACATGTTATCTTTTCTCTTTCCTTCTCTCTTTCTTTATTTCTCTCTGATAATCACTGTATTAACTTTTGCTTTACATTCAGTTTTGCTGCTTCCCTTATTTCTTTATAAATACTACATATAATGTGATGCATAAAGAGAATGTATGTGACATGCGTGAACTGGGTAGAATAATAATAAAGCAAAACTTGTGATTTCACCTTATACTTTAAGAGTTGCCGCCAGGGAAGCTGCCTGCACACTCCTCCCAGATCCTATTCTGTGACTCCCACAAGGGTAACCACTGTACTGAAATGTGCGTTTTAACATTTCCTTGCACTTTAAAAATAATGTTACAACCTTAGATATGTGCCCTTTAAAATATGTTAGGGGTATTTTCAAAACTACTGTTTCCAAAGCCTACTTCTTCCCTTCTTTTTAATGCCATGCAAACACTCTCTGATGGTCCTAAAAAGAATGGCCTTGATTTATTTTTCGTAATACTCTGCTTTGCTCTTCCATTTTATTTTGGTTTTTCACAGAACATTGTGGGCTGGAGAGGGAAGGGGTGGAGAAAGTAGAGAACACTGAGTACACTTGAATTTAAAAGTTAATTTGTGTAGGGGGGTGGGGCAGAGTAGCTGGGCAAGCGAAGGGTTGGCCTGGGAACATGTGCTTTGTGCCAGACGTCACTGACAGTGAGATCCTGGGGAAGGTTCCACTAAAGGAGTCCAAGGAAATGCAGAGCATAATTTGTGTGCAGAGCAAAATTCAATCGTGAGTATGCTTCGTGCATTTCAAGTGCTATAAACCACACCAGGATTTGTAGAAAATGTTTCTGGAAGGATGAGTGGGAATTCAAAAACATTTTGTTCAGAAGCTTGAGAGATAGAATCATTTTCAATTGATAGACAATGGTATGAGGTGAAATGTTGTTGCTTGCTGCTGGAGACAGAGCTCTTTGCCTCTCATCAGCTTCTGCCCCAGCTCGAGAAGGAAGACAAGTAGGAACGAGGCATCCCAAGTGCATTTCCCTTCCTGGGGCAGACGCTGGGCTCTGTGATCCTTGCACAGGTGTCCCAGGGCAGGCGTGCAGGAGCTGTTCCGCCTGCTTTCCACCTGCTTTCCACCTGCTTTCCTCTGACCACATCACCTGATC